GGCTTTTCTTTTTTGGCTGCTAAGTCCCGTCTTTTGCCTATTTTATCTCATCAGTAGTATGGATGAGATACTGGCTTTTGTTATTCTGGTAGAAGAAATGGTCATAAAAGTTAAAAGTATTAAGAAAAGCCATTAGAGCACATAAAACAAAAAAAATGAATACATTTAATTTAAATTTTATCAGCCCCAAAAAGAAACTCAAATGTTTACAAATTTCATTTGCATTACCAATCCTTACTTATTAATAGCCAAACCATTCCATGCCTCTAATTTTGAGAAAAGAGAGCTGTTTCAGTCTGCAGTGAAATACCAAAATAATTTTTCCATTCGTAATGAATGTTTCTGGGGCCTTTATTACATTGGTCTCAATGAGACTGATAGTAAAACAAACAAATAATCAAACGCTAGCTGTGGAGAGGGGGGGGGGGCAGCGAGACAGCGTATATACAGCATACATGACAAAGAATATAAAAATATTCAGAAAACAGTTAAGAAAAGCAAAAACAAAAAGAAGAAATATGTTTCATGAGTAAAACTGAGAAAAGGAAGAACTTGACTTAAGTTCCACACATGTTAAGTTTGTGCAAGGTCCAGATGATATCACAGCTGGCTAATTCAGTGACCAAAGTATTGGCAAGTTAAGATTAACACAGGCCTTTTACAGATGTGAGCCCTTCCCTGGAAGGAAAAAAAAAAAAAATTATAGAATCTGTGGAGATGTGTCAATCATACATATAAGTAAAACGTAGAATATCAACATTATCTTCAGTTTTCTCAAACTAGATCAATTTACAGAGAAAAGAATCACCCTCCCCCTCAAATTATGTATTTTCTTCCCATATGCAACTTCTCATGTTCTATGGGCCTAGTTCCATTCTAGCTCTCATTTTTATAAGAGAAACACATAACCTTTTATCGTGCGCATGGGGCCAATCAGTGTTGATGGAAGGGATGTTAGAAACCCAGGGGTCTGAGAGAAGTGCCTGGAGGAGGAACCGGCTCTCAGATGTGTTCTGCTTGGCCAGCACAGTGTGGAAGGGAGAAGAAAAGGAAAGAAACTCCAATGTTTTTAGAAAAAAGCATAAGCTGCCCAATTTGGCCATAAGCCTCACCATTCCCTAGTGTCTTCCACAGAGGCCATCACACATTTTGTCACACATTTTGTCACCTCGTCCAAATGTTTCACTTTACTGACGAGGAAACAAGAATCCAAGAACAGTTTACTGACTGCCTCAGGTGACACCGATAGTTATTGGCAAAACCATAGTAAGACTTCAGTGACCCGGCTCCTGCTTCCACATTCTCCTCTGACTCCACTAGACTCTTACGCAAATTCAATCTAGAGCCCAGAATGCCAACCTGTTGAAAGAAAATGAGGAACCAGTATCTAAAATGCCGGTTAATGGCTAAAACATGGAAAATGTTGTATTCTTGTCACAGTTCAAGTTTGTTCCATATTTCTTTATGCTCACCTAGCCAAAGGTGGTCAGGACCTACGTGAATAGGTGAGTCATGAATGCAGTGCTGTTGACACAACTGTACCCACAGCTAACACTGCAGCAATGGACTAGACATCATTGTGTCATTAAGGCTGGGACACTGCTCTTCTAACAAGTTCTCTCCTTCTTTCTACTACCATAGCACTACATTCAGGGTACAGGACTGAAAACAGCCTGGATTCCCTGTTAAATTGGTTTTTCTGACCCTTTCTTGGCTATGTACTAGTTATTTTATATCCTTGTGGCCTTGTACAATGGGAGATTTCAATCAGATTTCAATGAGAGAAGAGCTATATGCTACTCTCCACAGTTCCTAAGACAATCCTCAGTCCTTCTGTAGGTCTTGAATGCTAGCTGCCTATATTAACCACAAAGGGGATGAACACCTAGCCATACTGCCAGGTGACCTCCCAAGTCACTTTCACTTCTACATTAAGCTCTGTGATTCTCAGGGTACATGGGACATGTCCACTTCTCCCCACTCTGGAGACTTTCAGATCACCTACTGTGAAGCAATAACATTACACATCTGAGGGGCAATGAGGCCTTCTAGTTTTTCTGTCAGAATGCTTACTTTGAAGGACAGTCACTAAATCTCTCTAACTTCTTGCAGTGGGGGCACAGACAGACAAGCCAAAGCCAGAGATCCCTTTAGAGAGGATAAAGAGGGGTCACATCTGGGAAGCCTAAGGAAAAGGATGAGGGGAGTGTGGAGTCTGCAAACAGGTTCCCTCCTTCCATGGCTGCTCTAAGATCACAGGTCAAGGACAGGCAAGAATCCCACTCAAGATTCATAAGAAAGAAAGCAGGTTGACTCTGCCTTTCAAATGAGAACTTCAAATTCTTAATATACTATAATAGTCCCTATAATTACATTTAAAGCAAAGAACTGAGGAAAAGCTATGAAAATGAGGGATTATCATAGAAAATTGTGAAAGCATTTTGCGTTTCTATATGGCTACTTCCTGGCTGAATATAATTGAATGGATATTAATAACGATTACATGTACAGTTATTTAGGAACCAGAGAAATAACATGTGAGGAACGACCAAGAATGCTTATGAGCCTTTCCTTAAGCACAAACAAGGCAAAACATTTTGGGGACATAATAGCAGATAAACAAAGACAAACAAAGCAAGAAAACCAAAACAAAATAAGACAGAAGTACTTAAAATTACCTTTTATCTGATTGTATAGTAACAGAATTCTCAAGTTATTAAGCACAAACACTGAAAATAATGAAGTTCCACGTGTAAAATAATGCCACTGTACTTTGTTTATTCAGAAGCACAAATTTTTATATGTGTGAAGCAAAGAACTTCTATATGTGTTTTAACTCAGGATTGGTTGTTTCCTTCCATGTGCTATAATTTTTTTAAAGTTTATTTATTTTGGGGGTGGGGGCAGAAAGAGACAGAGAAAGAGAATCCCAAGTAGGCACTGTGCTGTCAGCAGAGAGCCCAACACAGGGCTGTGAGATGATGACTTGAGCCAAAATCGAGAGTCGGATACTTAACTGTCTGAGACACCCAGGTGCCCCCATAAGCTGTTATATAAACCAAATAAAGAAAAAAGTTAAAATGCTACTAAATAAATAATAAAATAAGTCATGAAAACCCAGGAAAAATTTCAGGATCCATTTCCTGATTTGTTGTTAAAACCATCACTTAAAAAAAAACCTTTAACTTTTTTCTCTTCTTTATGTTTGCTTCTGATTATAAATGTTCTTTACTATCACACTACAGTTATAATTTATCTCTAAATGTATCATCTTTGAATGAAAACTCCCCACTCTATATAATTACTGAAAGCAGTATTAGTTTGAAATTAACTTTATTGCATTAAAATGCCTAAAATTAAGCCCCCAATGCTTTCATAAAGGTTCAAAATAAGTCAAGAGGAAGAGCAGCATTAGCAGAAACTTATAACAGAAAACAAATTGTTTTCACCAACCTCAAAAAATCACTCATTATCATTGTGCACGGTACTTTTCTTGCTTTCAAATGAGAAGTTAAAAGTAGTTATTTCTGTATCTAACAGCTCTTGAAATACCAGTAGGCTGATGAAAACATTCATCAGGACCAATTATTTTACTCATGCAGTTTGAGCATGAAGAATATTGACAGTTTGTAACACGTTGACAGATGGAAACAATACATAATAACCCTTACAAAATCTAGAGTTACTAGAAGGTAAACTTTCTAGTCTCTTCGAAAAATCTTCACTTTGCTGCAAGTCCCAATTATAAATAGCAGCTGACATTTAATGAGTGCTTATGTGCCAAGCAGTGATTTTTACCCTTATTCTCTGTCATAGTAATCTGTCATTATTTTATTTATTGTTTTTCCTCCCACTAATCCAGAGGCTCCATGGGGACAGGGACTCTGTCTACTTCTTTATTGTATCCCCATGGCTAGTATGCCTTACACATAGCAGGCACTGAATTGTTAAATGACTCATTGTTCTAAACACTTTAACTTTTTAAAACTATTGGTCATGGCCTAGAGTGTTAAGAAAATGCAAAAGAATAAGTGGAATGTATTACTTTTAGTAGAATATTCTTCAATGAAACTTTTACATGTATATGTCGTATCTGTGTAACAGCAAAAAAGAAAAAGGCTGAAAATCACTGCTTTACGTGGATTATTTCATTTGCTCCTCACAATAACCCTGTAGACAATACCATAACTTCTACTTTAAAATAACAGAACTGAGGTTTCCAGATGGCATATATGATGTCCATGATGATAGAGCTATCTACAAGTAAGAACATCATTTCTATAAAGACTCACTCACAGGGTACCATACTAAGAAAACCTGAATTAACTAAGCAAGGTTTCAGTAATAGTAATTGTGCAATGATTAATAAAGAAAAAAAAAAAAGGCTTTTAAGGGATTCAGTCCTGACTGAATTTAGTATCTGGCTTAGCCACTAACCAGCTATGTGGACTTTGGACGAACTTAATCTCTTTGCACCTAGATTTCCCCATGTGTAAAAGAGGGGTATTCATCAAGTTAAGTTTTAAATGACTTGACGTATGTAAATAGTTTAGACCACTAAATAGAAACTGTTCTGATTAAAATAATTAGTATTTCCTTTTTCTTGGTCCGAAAAATCACATTCAACCCATTGCACTACAGTTGGAATGTGTAAAAAATGTGAATAAGGAATTTACTGGATTAAAGAGCAAAGCATGGGAACTGGGCAAGTTTGGAATAGAGCCACCCAAGAGGTTCTGCTGGACTTGGGTGAGAAAGATGCTAAGTCAAGCTCAGGGAGTTGGTCCAGGTAACTATGGGAATCAAGGGAAACAACACTGCTTAACTGTAAAAACAAACACAAACGACTTCATCTTCCCTCAAGGATCACAGCAACATCCATCTTCCTCTGCATATTGGCTGGGGCCAATCCAAGGTGTCAGGAAATGCACCTGGGTCAGCTCCCGCCCAGTAGGGCCTGGTACCAAGGGGCTAGGGCGCAGAGGTTCGGCGCAACTCACCCCGGAGACTCCGTTGATACTGCCCTAGAATCTCCTCCAGGGTAGAGTTCTCCGGGGACTTCGCCATGCACAGACTCGGGGCCCAGAGATGGGAGTTACGTAGGGAAATGTCCGATGTCGCCCTTCGGGGAACCAGAGGCCTTGGCGCCGGAGTAGCACCCGCCAGCTTCCTGCCGCTGCTGTCACTGGGGAGCATGGAATCCCGGTCGGAGCTCGCTGGGGGCCCTTCCCACCCATTCGCCCTCACGGTTGATTTCGGGAGTTGTAGTCCGCAGACTGCGGGCCTGCAGTCACGAGGCTCCTAAAAGGCCCTTCCAACTGAACTACAATTCCCAGAGGTCATTGCGCCTCAAGGTTTGGCGGTTTGGCAGCCAGATCCGGTTGCCAAGAGACTGCCTGGAGGCTCCGCCCTTTTTCTGTAGCCCAGCCTGGCTCAGTCCTGCCTTTATCCCATCCTGCTGTTTGGACCACCCAATCGACAGAAAGCTCACTGAAGGTCTTGACTCTTCTAAATTTGCTGGCTTGCAGTTGGTCCTTGAAATTTCTCAAGGACACAAATAACAAGTTCTACACCCTTCAGCCGCGACATCTGCCAAAATGGCCAAATACATTCTCAAGAAAAAGAAGCTTTATATCTTCGAAACAACCTAGATTGTGAAAGCGGCTGACACTACAATTCCTAGCATGCCCCGCAACCCGACCTCCACTTGGAGTTGGCGCACTGCCCTCTGGGAACTGTAGTCCTTTTTAGTTGCGGTCCCGGCCTTACACCAGGGTCCTCTTCATTGTTCAAGCTGGTTTTTTGGAGCACGCCTGCGCAGTAGGCAGCTGGAGAAGCCTTTGGGTGAGACCCTCCACACAGCCCCTTTTCATTGTCTGCGTTTGGCGCCTGCGCAGTAAGAGATCGTTGGGACGGCCGGAGGAGGGGATAGGGCCGGGCTCCTCGCCCTTTCCCCAGGCGCCTGCGCACTGGGCGGCCGCTCTCTGCCGTTACCGCTATGTGTGGGGCGTGTGTGGAATAACGTTATTGCCCAGCGGAGCTCAGGGCCGGGAACTCGACCGCAGCGGCAGCGACGACGACGACAGCGGCGACGACGACGACGGGGTGGGGGGAGGACGGCGTGCGAGAGACTCACGGGACGCGACGCGCCCCGCCTCCCCCGTCCGGTCCCTCTCTCAGCGGTGAGGGGTAAGTGATGCGCTCAGCGGCTCGGCTGAGGCGCTGCCGATGCCGCCGCCGCCGCCGCTTCCCCACATCCTCCGGGGTTTGCAGCGGGGGCTCGGGGCGCGGCCCGCGGCGGCCGGGGTTGCTTCCCCGCGGCTCCGCACGGCGCCGCCACCCCCTCCCTTCCCCTCCCCTCCCCTCCCCCACCCTGCCCCCAGCCCCACCCGCCGTCCCTCCGGGCCCGCGGCCGCCGCCTCTTCCCTAGGACGTCTTGAGTCGTTTTCAGCCCTCTCTCGGCTTTGTGCAGCCCTCCCCCCTGCGCCCTAGCAGTTTGCTAGGGGTGCGGGCGGAGCATCGGAGGGAATGGCTGTGCTGCCGCCGGGGCAGGGATTCCCCCCCCCCCCACCCCCGATCCGAGCAGCTAACAGTGCCGGCCCTTTCTGTGAGGTTGGTCTGGCGATGTGGGGCGGTTTGGGGGAGGTCAGGCGAGGAGCCCTCCGGACGCGGCTGGAGGGCGTGGAAGACGTGGAGTCACGCACCCTGCCAGGCGACTGCACCCGCGCTGGCTCTGGCTCTGTAGTAAACCCGGGGGAGGAGAGAGTGGCTTCCTGTCGGCTTCATTGTCCTAAGATTCAAATGTGGGGTTTGGGTATGCTTCCCGTCATTTTATGCATAACACAGGGCGGGAAGACGTGGGATTTGTATCCTAAGTTATAAAAACTCTGGGGTTTTTTTTTGGGGGGGGGGGATGGTGTTTAGCAGAGTTTTATTTATTTGAAGAATATAAGCCCCTGGAAGACAGGGACGGTGCCTGTGCAAGCATTGCCAAGGTGATAAATATAAAATTACCAGATGGCGAGGAAGAGTGGACTTAGAAAGGGCCTGACGACGAGGCTGTTGTGTAGCAGGGAAATGAACCAGCAGAATTGTTTTTTCGATGGGTGGGTAATGCATTCACGTTCCTAAGGGAATAGATGAGGCTTCATCTTTTCGTTTTGTTTTTTGAGCAGTCAAGACAAAAAATAGGCCTGCTACCTTTCTGTTCCTGATTTTGTTTATAAATACTTTTATTCCCTTAATGAAAATTCACTCGTTTGGGAAACATGTAGTGAGGCAGATGATAGGTGATTGAAAATGCATCTTTTAAAATGATTTGATCTTAAGCTTTCAATGCTTACAACCGTTTGCTGGCGTTAAAACCAGGGGAAGAAAGAATGAAGCAGGATGGGGAGGAGCAGGTGGAGGAATAATGGGAGAGGAGAGACTTACATTGTGAGTACTCTATGTAAATCTTCAATGATACAACCCTAGCTGGACATGCTTCAGGAATTTAGTAATTCAGCTCTGGAAATACTACATTGCAAGGGACAAATAATTTTGTATTTTTCTGCCGTTATTTTTGAAAAACTAAAACCAGGGCTGTTTTTCATCCTTCCTAACTTCGTAGATACGGTAGAATTTTGATGTTTTAAAACTCAATCTAAGTGCACTTGACACAGAGGAGGACCCTCAAACTTGGGAAGTTCGCTGATTTGTCTGTCCAAGCCTAACTGCTAATGAAAGGGCAGAGCCAAACCAAGATCTGTGCCTGCAGAGTGCTCTTTCAGTTTTGTCCCTTAGTCTTCCTACCCTGTGAAAATTTGTGGAAGGCTTCTCTACAGCTCCTTGAGTTGTCTTTGACGATCAAGTTCATTGATACTCTAGTTTGTATTAATCTTGCCCTTTTCTTCGTGATGTAAAAATAGTAATTCTGCTGAAGTGGAGCTTTAGTTTTATAAATTAACTTATGATGTAAGGAAAGATGCCCTACCAGGGGGTTTTCATAAAAACAAACTCTTGGAAGCTTTTCCCTACTACTTGTTAGTAACCACATTTTAATAGCATTTCCTAACATTCAGCATTAGTTGATAGCGTGATCAACTCTGTAAGCTGTTAAAAATAAAATTGCCAGGTAACAAGAACCTGTGAAGTTCATTTTTCTCTTCTATTAATGAATTATATTATTTGCAACTTGCCTTTTGAGAAAAAAATCTTTGTTGAACTTTTTAATCAAAATTAAATTTGTGTGTGTTCATTGAGCTGGTTTTCACACAAAGTGCTTTTTTGCTTTATAAACTTTTAAATTTTACATTGCATTTCAACAGACTTTTAAAAAAGAATTTAGTAATAGGCCTTTTAAATTTTAGCTTACTTAAAAATAATCTGTTGTTAAATGCAGCACGGGGAATTATATTAAGTCAAACTTTAAATGTATTTTACTGGTAAATTTCGCTGTTGTCAATTACTTTGTATGGAAATAAAGAACCATCTGTGTTTTCTATCTTAGCATTAAAATAATTAAATTTATACTACAAAATTATACATTATGCCCATTGATGCAGATATCAAAGTGTATTTAAAAATCCTATGCTCAGTGATCTATTTTCTTTATTTCAAGTATCTGTTTCCTTTTATCACTGAAGAAAAAACTAGTTTTATTGTTGCATCTGATAGCAATCAGATATCACTCATCTGGTACTCAGCACTGTATGTTTAACCTTGTTAACATGTTTTTTTATTCAACAAAATTCTCCTGTAAAATAATTTTTACTATTTTAATTAATGAATGATTTTCTCGAATGATTTTGTTCTTTATCATGAACGTTGGGGTTTCAAGGAGTGTCCTAATAAATACTTAACAGACAGCAGTGTACTAAATTGCCAGCTAAAATATCTGTACAGTTGCAAATTATTATGGAAGTGTAAGTATAACAAAAGAGCAATTAGATACCATCTGAAAAATCCTTGGTGGGTAGGTAATATTGAGAACATCACGTGTTGATGTGTTTCAGTAAGAATAATGAGTTTCTTATGGAGAGAAACTTCAGACCATCTTTATTCCATATACTTCGGTTAATAACCAAGATTTCTAGTAATCAACTACCCTTGTTGAAGTGGGATTTAATTTATTGACTCAAATATTTCTTGAGGGAAGTGCTCAGCAATGAGTTAGTCGCTGTGGTCAATACAAAAGAATAAGAAGACATCTGTTTGGTAGTAGAGTTGATTAAACTAGGTAGATATATAGTCTAGCTGAAATGATTATGCAGCAGTATATCTATTTTGTAAAAAATTTTTTTGGCTAAAATGAATGATATGGTCAATGTATACCAATGATAAAGCCCTCTTTTATGTCAAACAAAGGTAGAGAGGAAAACAAAAGCAAAGCTAAAGAAAACCTTACAAAAATTACTTTAATCCATATAGGGATTGTACAGAACATGGCAGTGGAAAGAATCTGAAGCGTGCATTGCTTAGGTTTGAGAAACAGAATATGAAACATAGCAGAGAATAAGTCATTATTTCAGTATATCAGTAAGAAATAATGTAGAAGACGTTACCCTTTGGGACATGATATTTGTTGAATAGATGACAACAACCTACCATGTATTGAGACCTACTAACTGCCAGGCGGCAGGTGTGTGTATGTGTGTGTAATTAATGCAAGAGTCTTGTGTATAAGGTATAATTTTACACATTTAAATCTGAGAATATTTGAAGCCCAGAGTTAGTGATAATTTTGCCTCTGTGTCACACATTACTAAGTGGTAGAGCCTATAACTGAACCTTTGTCTTTTTAACAAAAGCCTAGATTTTCACTCATCCTTTTTGGTAAATTAAAAAAGCAAAATTTACTCTTTTCTGATTCACAAATTTTTAGAATTAGAGGAGACTTTAGAGTCATCTGGTACAGTGTACCTCCTACTACAAATATGTCTGAGACTTTTATTGAGTCAGCTTCTCCAAGAACAACACTTCCACGAACAATGAGGCATAAGATGTCTCATTTAGCTTTTGGAAAGAGTAATAGGAAGGTCTTAATTAGAGCCGGTATCTGCTTTCCTGTGTAACTTCTCCCCATTGGTTGTAGTTTTGTCTTAAGTGTAGGCCACAGTAAGGTTTTTCTCTACCAGGTCTTCTCTTTTCTTGTTAAATACTACAACCCTAACAACTTCATGTGATGCTGTTCCCTCTACCTTTCTCATCTCTGTCAACTACATTCAGTTTTGTTGATGCTGTTCTTTTTGTTCCGATCTTGTTTTTATATTTAGTTCTCCAGTTATGGTCTAAAAACAGTGTAGTGAAATTATCCCTTTCTTTAATTCAAGCTATACGCTTGTGTTTACAGTCTAAAATTGTGTTAACTGTTTAATAACCTTTGCTACTTCTAAGCAAAAAAAGAGAAGGAAATGTTATATGGCTTTTCAAGTTATATTTATACAATTCAAAAGATTA